CGGCTTTAAAAGGTAAAAGACTAAGATAAAGGGAGACAATTTAGGATCTTTGGTCATGTTCCCATTTAAAGCCGTGGACCAGAGGAAGGTGCTGTACACACCTAAACGTGCCGAAATCTACGATGAACTAATACATCCCACTGATAAGACAGTTTTGGGCGTTATTGAGGTAGGCTGAAAGCGACGCTCTTCAGGAAAAACTGTCGAATCTGAATTTTCCAGTATTATCACAAACCAGAGGTATTCGCCGTCAACGGCACTTTCAAGGATGATCTACAGTATCTGCTCCAGTACGGTTCAATTGAGAGTATAAGTATGAGTTTAGGTTCGTTGGCCCCGTGCTTTGTACTGATTCTATCGTGTTAATGCTTTTGCTACAGTAATGTATTAAGCTTATAGTTTAGATATGAAAACTTGGCTGGTTAGGTACGTTTTATCGGATGGACCTGATGAATTTTTCCTATACCGAAGTGAACCAAAAGAGGTATGGCATTCTCTGTTTTTGGGTTATAAAGCTGAAGACAATCTGTACACTCACCTTTCGTGGATTCTGAGATGAGCGAGGTGAGTGGGTACAGGACTGCAAACGTTTTTTTCCCACTCGAAAGTACAGAAGCGGAGCTGGAGGGTGGAGAGAGCGTTCAGAGATCCGTCTGCAAATTTCGAGTTTCGATATTTGAGATAAGCATCCAAAACCACGTTGCTTGAGCTATGTCGCATTACAAATGGCCTCGACCATCCCTAGTAAGTACGACGTGGCGGGAGGGAGTCACTTAGCCCGAGCCCAGCCTCGGCAGATCGCTAGACCATGAGCTGGAAAACAAATGTCATTCTCTGGATTCCTACATCAAAGATAGATTTCAAATAAATGAGATATGAAGCCGAACTGGCGCCTGTTGGCGCTAGCTGGGGCCAGCGACAAAAGCGAATGCCTTATTTGTGATAAGGGCACCGATTAGTCAATATAGGCGAATTTTGAAGAAATTTTTATGTGTTTCCGGAGTAGGAATTGCAAAATATTGCCGAAAAGTGGGTCAGTGTGCAGGATTTCCGGAACGACAGTCTCAAAGGAATGTACCGAATAGAGACGCCAAGATATATGAAGCGTCAGATGGTGGCGGCTTTTTCCTAGGGCAGATTTGAAGGAGTGGTAGTATGAGATGCCAGGTGACCGCAGAATATCGTGTACGATGACTGCCAGTATGACATGAAATCGGTGCAAGAAAAATTTGCACGTGATGGGGAGTTGAAGAATAGCGGCAGGGGTTAAAGACACATAGTACGCTCACACACATTGAGGGTGTATGAGACTATCAGCCCCCCAGCTGTCGATGGTCCCCCCGCCCAAACATGCCCAGGAATGGAGATACAGGACCGTGAAACACGCTAATTCCTCCATGCTCCGCCTTACACCTTTTTGCGGCGCAGATTCCCGTCCTTCATAACATCCGTCGTAAGCGCGCGTGTCGCGTGCGGCTCCTTGGCACTTTGCCAAGTCCTTTAATTGCGCTTTCAAATACAAGTAAAACGCAATTTCCTGATGCGGATAACATTGGAGGTGCTGCAAAATAAGAACAGAAGATGATGACGAGGGTCAGAACTTAAAAGCAACTGTGCCACTTCTGCAACATCCCTCGGAGGCCGCGTATTTCCACGAAACATGAAAATAAAAACGGCATACTCGTTAGTTTGATACAAGCAAAACGCAATTTCCTGATGCGAATAAAATTTTAGGTGTTGCTCATGCTTCAAAATCCATGTACAAAGGAGATGAAGATGACACAGGCTAGAAATGAAGCACAACGATGTAAATGTAAACAAAACAAAAATGAAAAAATCAAGGAAAGGCAAATTAGATAAATTGGCCTGTAAATTTCTACGATCCGGCGCGAATCCGGCGCCAAAGCCATAGAAATACTTAGAAACGAGTGGGACGCTTGGGTTGTTTTTATTCTCATGTTTTGTGGGAATGCGCGGCCTCTGATGGATACTGCAGATGCAGCCGAGTTGCTCTTGAGTTCTGGCCCTCGTCATCATCTTCTGTTCTTATTTTGTAGCACCTCCAATGTTATCCGCATCAGGAAATTGCGTTTTACTTGTATTTGAGAGCGCAATTAAAGGACTTGGCAAAGTGCCAAGGAGCCGCACGCGACACGCGCGCTTACGACGGATGTTATGAAGGACGGGAATCTGCGCCGCAAAAAGGTGTAAGGCGGAGCATGGAGGAATTAGCGTGTTTCACGGTCCTGTATCTCCATTCCTGGGCATGTTTGGGCGGGGGGACCACGACACATCGACAGCTGGGGGGCTGATAGTCTCATACACCCTCAATGTGTTTGAGCGTACCATGTGTCTTTAACCTACTACGAATAAGCTTCCATCGGAGAACGCTGTTGAAACAAATCCGGCACATGCAGCCTCTTCGAGCTAATACTGTCTTACAGGTGAAAGACAATTAAGCGAAAGCAATCGTACCATTTGGATGCCGTACTATGATGGATAGCGTCGGGACCTACTCACACAGCAGATTTCAAGTGTGGTTCAACGACGTCGTGACACAGCCGAGATTTATTTAGCGAACCATGACGAAAATGATGGTTTTAGCCACCATTTTGGATATGAAAACAGTGCTTGCGACAAATAGTAAGTCGGCTGTTAATTTTTCACGTAATATCCTTTGCATTAATCATACTACTGCAATTTGTAGTCATTACAGGATGATTTGGCACCACACTCGAAGGGTTACCACAAAGTTTCGGGACACTAGTACTTGCAGGATGCAAGTTGTGCTAATCTGTTCGCAGAGAAGAGCTCAAAAAAGACCTGCACAGCGGCAGCTCTTTCCGTATTCTTTCCATGCACTACCTTTTCATTGATTTTTTTAAAATCTTCCCCCAATTAGTGTAATCATGCGACTCTTTCATCAAAACTGTTCAACAGCACAAAACTACCCAGTGAAAAAATGAAAACTCAGTTTTCGTGGAACTAAAAACACATTTTTTCCTTAATTTCAAAGCGTTTCTAGCGTGCGAGGCGAAAGGGCGGCTTATGCACGGGTGCGGCTGACACCTCAGAAATAGAGCACGCTCGGTGTACGCTAATTTGGAGGCAGTGAAGTTTTTGAACATTGTACTGATAACTTTCAAAGTTTTTTCTTACATGAAATTTTGAAATTTTTCTTATCGAGTATTTACACGACTGTGTTATAAAATAAAATATAATAGACAGAAAATGGACTTGGTGTGGTTATTATCTGCCTTGCTCCAATTACTTACCGCTCAAGAATTCGATGGACGAACCTCTCTCGTATTGGCACGTCACAACGAGAGCACACGCATAACACGCAGTTCTCTGGAATGATGGATTATTATCAGAATAATTCATTAATTCCATACAAACACTGAACAAAGTGCTGGCTAAAGAATAACCGATTTAAAGGCTCTGCAATATAAGCATGCGTTAATATCTCTTGGTCGAGCCACTAAAAATGTCAGTGAAACTTCTGGTACCAAATATCGTTTTCATCGTATTCAGTGCAACGGAATAGAAAGCCGCTTTGAAATGAAGGTTAGCCACCACAGAAAACGTTAATGGCAGTAATACTAGTGAAGCGCAAATATGGCAGATGCGCTCAGGTTAACAGGTAGTCGCGGATAAGTGCAACCACCAGCCACCTGGTATGTCTTGATAGCTAAAAGCATGTATACAGTAGGCCACCTAGTTTCCTGATTATCAGTTCGATTTTACTTGGTAATGTCGGCATAAGAAACATTTTTGGTCTCGTTTTCTGTAAGAATTGGATTTCATTCTGAATCATGTTATTTTAAGGCTTGCCGCCCCTCCATTCGTACCTATGTGTCCAGTTCCTGCGCTTACTCGCTTGCTAACCATTAAATAATTCTATGTCTATGTAGAACAATATTTTAAAAAATCTAAAATCCTAACCATCCTTCGAGGAAGGCTCGTTTTGTGCTGCTTCTGCTTCATAGGATCCAGCTTCACCTAATCCATGCATTTTGTAACGAAATCCTCAAAAGGAAAAATTTATCAGAGTTCAAAACAAAAAAGAAAATAACTCGCTGAGGGCTGCATCAATTACGTTACAATCAATAGTTCCGGAAAGAAGTACCAAGCATGTGTGAAGCCTACCGCAAGACCCCTCCTATGCGAATCCCTAGTTTTGGTGGTAATGGCTTCATTCGAAGCAAACAGTGGAGACAGAAGGTATATATCCCATACGGAGAACAGTACTATTGGCAGAACAGGTGTCAGTGTGATTAATTACAGCTTTTCCACTATCTCTTCACTTCTCTCATGCTTCTCCTCCAAGTATTTGACTCCTACTCTCTTCCTCTCACTCACTTCTCTCACTCTCTTCCTTGTTCTCCAATCTGCAATTTGGAAAAAAATTAACAAAAATGAATGTAAACAGGTAAGAGTGGTCGCGTTGCACGCCCAGTGAAGCCACTGACATTTGTTGGCGTTGTCGATGGGCCCGCCTCTTGGCCAATCATAGATGAGCGATGAAAGATGGCCTTAAACTGCTCAAGATACTGTAAAGCATTCAACAGCAATGCGGACAAATGTTCTCATGCAATCATACCTGCAGCGCCCATCATTATCATTTCTCACCCAAGATTATCATTTATCTATCGAACATTTCAAAGCTGTGTCACTTTCTCGGTTTTCTGGCTCTTTCCCCCTTAAGTTTCTGCTGGAGCTTCTAAACCCTATCAGGCATACCATATTACCCCAACAATAGTCGCAGAGTATTCTGGAACGTGCTACTTTTATTACTTTTAATACTGCACTTTTATCTGCTAGTCTCAGACCAAAATACAAATCCAGTAAACTCTTAGAGATAACAGTTCAGGATGTAATTTGTTTTCGAGGATTCATTCCGTTTCACTTCAGAGGAAGAGAAAATTGTTACATTGTATTGGTGCGTTACGTCTCCAGAATTTATCGTAGTCATTGAGATACTACATACATATATCAAAGTTGTATTATTTATACTTAGATGAGCTCGTCCACTTATAGTAATTACGCAATTTCATTCGCTCGACGAAGACCCATTCCCGCAATATGGCCTGCTGACGCAAAAATTATGACACATTAAGTAAAGCAGACAGCAATTCAGGCCGTCATTGGCACCACCTGTCAGCTGACCCTAAAATAGATCATCACTAGTACCACTCTGCCTTAATAATACGCTCACATGGAAAGTCCTACATACATATAATGAGGATACTTCCTGCAGTGTCTAGCTACTGCGCTGCACTGTTGAGTAGTGAATTACCACGACTTAGGCAGAGGGGGTAAGTTTCTAACGCTCAACCGTAGTCAACTTTAGATTCAGCTTACAGTTTCAAGACCTTTTAGCCTCGCTTTGGGGAACAATAACCAAGGGGATCTGGGGAATCAGAAGAGAGAAAGTTCGGCTAATGCCGTTTGGACTCCAAAATTTCGGCACCGAGCTCATTTTTAAATTGCCTAAGTCACCAAATCCGCTAAAAACTTGTATATAGGGGTAGTTTAACATCCTGATTACGAATATGACATTCACTCTTGTCGCTGGCGCTAATGGATGACACTACGATTATCTGCGCTCTGCTAAGGCTGAGCCTAGGAGGTGATCCTAGTGTCCTCTCTTGACGCCAGCGACAAAAGTGAATGTCATATTCTTAATCAGGATGTTAAACTACCCCTATATACAAGTTTTTAGCGGATTTGGTGACTTAGGCAATTTACAAATGGGCTGGGTGCCGAAATTCTTGGAGTCCAAACGGCATTAGCCAGAAAGTTCTCAACAAGTGTGTGAAGTTCTCATGGTTAATGTTCTGAAACAGATGGTACTGAGCACGGTCAGGTATTACTTTGCGAAAAAAATCGCTCTATCTGTACTGTCCCCTCTCCCTTCTCCCAAAAAAAGGAGTGTCCATGCAACCCCACCCCCTCCTTCTCCACCTTATAAGTTCATGAGGTATAAGGCGAATTCCTGCAGTTGCACTGCATAGGGTGAGAGTGCGTTGCTGCATGACTCATCGATCTTTTTGTGAATGAAAATCCCTCTTGAAAAGTAATCAGCATCCACAAACAATTATTTGTAAGCGGCAAGCAACACTTGCGGTTTCTGAGAATGGTCCATATGATTAGACTAAAGTCATTTGAATGTCAAAACATGGAGAAGCATCAAGGAGTTCCGTTGCGGGAAAAAATATCGGAGATTCAGAAAGAAACCTAGACGTTTTTGCAGACTTTTCTCTTTCGCCGATCGGTACTTTGCACCTTCCTCAGCAATCTGAAGTATACGAGTCAAAAAAAATGAACAATTATTGTAGTGCTTTCGCTCGACGTGAACCCTGCCTCCGTTCGTATGGAGTAGTTGCTTTTCCGGAAACCTCGCCTCAAAGTAATGTTGACCTACCCTTCACCTTTCGATACAGATACCGCGCCTAAAAGCAGTGCGCTCGACAGCTCGATTCTCTGCAGGAGTAAGAAAAGGCACGGGCAAAAAAGGGAGGAAGCGGCATAGAATGCCAAAATAGGGCCCTTATCAACGCTCGAGTCAGGGAGTATACCTGTTGCGCCTGAGATAAATCATTTGCGGTCAAAGGTCAATGTGGGACGAATCACGGCGACTACACAGGAAACATGACAACATATCACTTCAGGCAGTAGCGAACACGAAATATTAACAAGGATCTTTAACAGAGCAGGGAAATACTACTTTTGCACGGAGTGGGTGTCAAAAATTGAGTAGAAAAAAGCCAAAAAAAAGTAAAACAAGTTTAAAAGTCCAGAAGGGGCACTGCTTACATGAAAACTTTGCACTCCGACTTATTTCGTCAGCAATAAGACTTATCTCTTCAAAAAACTGAAGGGGGGGGGAAGAAACGCCTTTCAGCCGCCTATTGTTTTTGAAAACAGCTGGTCCGATGGTGGTCAACTGGTGATCGGATGCGGCCATTTGTGGGCGTGTCGTTGTTGGAGGGAGTACGGATTGTTATGGTAAGCCTTGCCAGTTTGCTCAAAAACCGCTCTTTGTCGGAAAAGGCATCGTGTAAGGCTCTCAGGGTCTCGGGATTTCTCGGTGATCTTCGTGTTCATCTTAAATGCCTAGTGGATTTACCGTGCCCTTTGCCTTCAACCACGTGAGACTGCTTCCTTGCCCAGGTAGTCCCTGTACGTAATCGCAAAGATTGCAGCAATTTGTCGACTCTACAACCAGTGACGAGGGCGTCATGGCCATCATAAGTTGCGTTTATCATTTGCAGCATTCTGCATTTCCTGTAATCATACCAAACTATGCCAGTTTAGGGGAATGCATGTTTCATTTAATGTTAGGGATGATGGCAAAAGTGCTTGGAAAGACAAAGAAACCCGCTTTCAAACATTTAGACGAACTTGAAGCTGTTTTGTTATGATAACTGCTGTTTAACGCCGCAGTACGCGTTCCGAATGTTATCACAAGAATGCTGAGTTGTGGGCAAAAGTCGTGCCCCAGGCGGGAGTCGAACCCGCACCTCACGCTTTCCGGGCGAGTGCGCTATCCGTTACGCCACCAGGGCCGCTTTTACCCTCTCAGCTTAACGGCCAAGTTAAACGTGTGAGTGCTGATAGGCTACGGCATAAAAGCCGTTAAGCTGAGAGGGTAAAAGCGGCTTGGTGGAGTAACAGCGGACCCTCGGGATGGCGTAACGGATAGCGCACTCGCCCGGAAAGCGTGAGGTGCGGGTTCGACTCCCGCCTGGGGCACGACTTTTGCCCACAACTCGCATTCTTGTGATAACTCTGATCATTTCTAACATGTATCCGTTAAGACTTTATTCGGATAACAATGTCACGGAAAAAATCGCACCGATCCTCATGATGAATGAGCGTATGCGTGCGTGAGTTGAAGAGCAGCCACAATTACCAGCTCCATTCTTCTATTGTGTTGTTTGGATGGTTGCGCGAAGGTGCTTAGCAAGAATCATTCAAAAAAAAAAGATTTCGCGGATACTTTAGATTCTTTTGCGAATTTTTGATCTCTCTGCAACCGAACTTTTTGGGTTGCCTCTCCATTTTTCAACATCTGGCATTCTAAGGACTCCCATCCACAAGAAACACTACAGAGTAAGATTCCTCCCTCCACCAACGAAGGCTTACTTGCTAGACCTCGTCTCATGCATTTTACTGATTAGATTATGGCTCTGTATAACAGCTTCTTCAGAACCTCAAAATCACAACTAGACCATACGCGGGTACCACAATTCCTCCTGACAACATCAAGTCTGATTTAAACGGTCACTAACCAGGCCTGGGCTTACAAATGCCTGTTCATCAGCATTTACTATGATACAATGTGCCTGAGACCTACAAATGAAAGCAACACCAGTACGACAGACAGGGTATAGCATCGCTATGTGAAACCCTTATGGGGGTCGTACTTGGCCGCTGGGGAGGGGGGGGGTGGGGTGTCATTCTCAGATCAGTCAGGAATACCGATCGAACAATGCTTTGACATTTGAGTTATTAGTGGGAGTGGCGCTATGGACGCGAAGATGTTAAAAAATGAAAATTATTATGAGTGTATTCTTTACAGATTACCTCGCTCACGTTTGACAGCCCGCTTTCATGGAAAGTCCCCAGAAAGGGGATCGTACTTAGCCCGAGGCCGACGTTGGGGTATCGCCAAATGTAGGCTCGGAGCTAACCTTCAAACACGTACAAAAAATGCCATATGCTAAGTCAGATGAAACGGGCGGAAAGCGGCAGGGAGACCCAGGATATAATGGGAGACGACCACAAAATAATAGATAAAAACCTGGATTGCAGAGTTATAGTCAGGTATAGCGAAGTAATAGAGATAATATAGTAAATCACAATGGCATATAATAAAGATATCAAATTGAGGCCTAAAGAATCATTAGGTGGTCGAAAAGAAGAAGTACGCATTGAGTTTAAAAAAATTTTTATTATAAAAACGAAATTAAACAAGATTAATTCAAAAGATAATCTCCATTACTATCAATGACTTGTTGCCAACGTTTATGCAAAGAATGGATTCCTCTTTCGAAGAACTCGGCCGGCTGCGACTCAAAGTAGTTGGACACCCAGAGTTGGACTTCTTCGCGGTTTGTGAACTTTCTCTCGGCCAGGGAGTGCTGCATCGACCGGAACAGATGGTAATCGATGGTGCCAGGTCTGATCTGTGTGGCGGATGAGGCAGGACTTTCCAGCCCAATTCCTCAATTTTTTTCTAGAGTGATTTTCGCCACATGTGGATGAGCGTTGTCGTGGATAAATTTTGTCGACGTCGTTTCGACACTTTGAAGACGCAGTGCTGGATCCATGCGGTTCAATTGGTGTTTGCAGATGTCCGCCGTAACCGTCTGACCCGATTCCGGAACTTCAAAGTACATCAAACCTTTGCTATTCCACCAAACACGGAGCATCACCTTTTTGCCGTGTATATCCGGTTTCGGAGTCGGTTTTGGAGTGTCACCGGCGTCTAACCACTGTCTTTTTCGCGTTGCGTTGTCGTAGCAGATCCATGTCTCATCTGATGTAACAATAGAGTCGAAGAAACCGCTGTTCTTGGAGCGACGAAGAAGAATTCCGGCCATTGCCACTCGTGTTGCCTTGTTTGCGTCGCTCAGCTGGTGCGGCACCCATTTTCCGTACCTGTTCTTCTTGCCAATTACCAGCAAAGGTTCATGGATGGTAGAGTTTGAGCAGCCGAAATGTGTTGCCAGTTCTCGAGTGGTTTGGCATGGATCCAATTCAATGACGGACTTCAACACTTGGTTATCGACGACTTGAGGCCGACTTCCATGTTCTTCGTCCTCCAAGCTTTCATTACCGTTTTTGAAACGCTGGAACCATCGTCGACACTGGCTTTCTGACAGGGCTTCTTCGCCGAATACCTCAGATAGGGCACGATGAGATTCAGCAGCCGATTTGCCTTGCTTGAAGTCGTACCACATGCAAGCTCGCATTCGAAATTTTTGGTCAAGCATTTCCTAAACTTTTTTTCTCTAAAAAAAACAAAGTAGACATAGACAAAAATATATCAAAAGATGCACAATAAAAATCTCTTTCTAATAGACAAAACTGTTTTGAAAAATCTTCTATAGTAGGAGAGAAATAAATGGACAAATTCAACGCGCATTTCTTTCCGAACAACCTAATAATATATCTTGAACAGATCCGTGCGTGTCCTTCCCAAAACCCAAGCAAACATCTGCTTGCATGGATAAAAGCACCTGAAATCAGAATTTACACCTTTCCACCACCTCTGCGTAGGAGCGTAATGCACGGCGCACGGACCAAATCGATCAGTGATAGCCGAGCTCCTCTTTCACTCATTTGAAGGGAAATATGTGTTTTGAAGGCACACTGAAGTTTCCGAAGGTGTATCCTGACAATGGCACACAGGAGTCGAACTTTTGAGTAGCTCAGAGGGTAGCTTTTTGGTAACCTATCCAAATATCTCTTGATCTACAGTCCTCATCATTGCGGACCGGTGGGGCGTGGCAGTGCGGCTGCATTTGGTGCGGTTTGGCAAAGTCGTTCTGCACCAGTTTTTGAAGCGAACAAGTGCATTACTGTATAATATCCTTTGTATTATTCGTTTTCTACCAGTTTTTGTCGCATACG